TCTCCCAAGGCTCATTTTATAGAGCCAGGACAGAAGGTACAATCTCTCTCCTTCTAAAGATGGAAGATTTTGCTCCCTGTTGTTTCAAGGGAAGAATATTTTTGGACATTCAAATTGCCAAATTACATCTCTCTGTCTCCACTAAGGAAAAGGTGTTTATAATGTGCCAACTAACAATCCTAGTGTAGACAGGGCAAGTTGCACATTTACCTTATCCTGCCCACACTAGGTTTTTACAACACGTTAAAGAAAGAAGCTTTTTTGCTCAAACACTGTAGACAGACCCACCCTCCGATACTGATTCTCACATAGGTGGTCACTAACCATCACATAACCTGGGGACTGCCAGAGACGTCTCACATGCACACAGGGGTTCGCGTGTAGTGGCGGGGCGCAGCGAGGAGGGGGGTGGCAGTGGCGAGGACGGGGCACGGCGGGAAAGGGGCTTCCCCGCTCACCTGTCTTGAACACCAGCTGCTTGTCGTCCTGCGAGCCGAACTCTCTCAGCATGGAGACGAAGAGGACGCCGCACGAGTTCTGGATGCCGAACACCGCACCGTTGCACCACATGGCGGCCAGCATCACCACCCAGCCCCAGCCGCCCTCAGGGGCCTCGGCCCCCTGCTGCCCCTCCTGGGGACCCGCCATCAGCAGAGCGGACTGGCCGCCTGGACACCCCTCTCGGTTCTCTTGCCTCGGCTCCCCAGCCGCCGCCTGGGCGCCCTGCTGCTCCCGCAGCGCCGGGCAGGGCAAGGGGGTAACAGAAGTGTCGGGAGCGCCCCCAACTCCCTGCGTCTCCAGCTTCTCGCTCAGCGTCATCCCCGCGGGCTCCCTCAGCCGCACGCAGCCGGGGCGAGGGGACAGGCGACAGCCCCCTCCCACAAGAAGGGGCAGCGGCGGCTTCCCTCCGGCTGCCTGAAGGAGCTGCTGCGCTCCCGCTAGCCCAGCAGGGCGGCTGGGAACATCCCGCGGCGCCGAGCGGGAAGCCCCTTTATTACCGTGCAGCCCCGGCGGTACGAAACTTCTCCCTGCCCCGTCCCCTCACACACGCCGGCCCCTGGCTCGCCAGGTTATTTTGAAGGGGCACCTCTCGGGGGAGGGGGTGTCTGACAGCAGGATATCCCCCCTTACCGCGTCTCCGATTGGATGGGACAGGGGCGCGGCCACGCCCCCTCCCCGGACACGGTGGGGGCGGGGCCGCTGCGTGTCACAGGGTCCGGTGGCTGCTGTGCTGAGTGCCCGGGGCGGGGGTGTGCGCGCGGCGAGATGGGGAGTTGGGAGTTAACGGTTGCCGCTCGCGCGCAGCAAGAGGGAGCCCCGAGGCCCTTCCCCCACCCCCGCGAGGAGGCGCTGGATTCACCTCAGGGTGGAGGGAGAAATCAGGCCAGCAGCCTAACAGGAGGGAGGCTACTCGCCCCCCCCCACCCCCCATGAATTCCCAGGGTCAAGGATGCACCGCCCCTGGGCCGGGAAAATCGCAGCAACAACGCCACGGACACGGCCCCCTTAACACTAACCCAACAACTCCCCTCAGAAAATCAGGAAGTGCCACAGCTGCCTCTGTGACTATGCACGTGCTTCGCTCTGACCCTCCCTCTTGTCCCCAGGAGTTGTATCTCTGCCCGCCATGCTGCTTCCCATCCTCTCTAACTCTGCCTCCCTAGCCTTTCCTACCAGATTCCCGCCTCCTTCACGGCACAGGACTGGGGGGAAAGGAGGCAGCCTCTTAGTATTTCCCTCTCTGTTAAAGAGCGGGGCTATGACTCCTCACTACGGTCAGCCACACTGTAGGCACTACTGCCACAATACACTGCGTGACTGCTGCCTCTGTACTGCAAGGTGCTATACCACCTGCTGACCACAAGAAAGGAACTACTAGCACTGTTTCACGCCCCTCTTTGGCAGGTGCCGCGGCTTCCTTGACCTACAATGACAGCTGGCACTTTTCCCTAGCCTGGGGCTGGCCACAGCAAGGCCATCGGCCCTGCTCTTACGTAAAATGTTGTGACATCACGCGTGGCATGCAATATTTCTCCTTAGTGCAAACGTGTCACTATTTCCTACACAGGGAATTTTCCTACACCTCACTTCCCTCACCCACCTTCCTCCCAGGAAGGATTGGGGGCAAAAAGAGCAGAAGCCTGCACCTCACAAGAAGGTGGCAGGGCATGGGAGCCAGCATGGTGAGGGTCAGGAGAGCTAGTTCTGGAGAGAGTTTGGGCTGGGGAGGATGTGAAGTTGCTTGGAGGGGGTTGATGGATTGAACCTGGGGAGGGTTTCTTCTGGGAGGTTAGGAAAACACAGAGTGGCTTCCCCTACTTAAACCCTATCCCCTTTTGTTTTTCCCTGTCATCCTCTGCTGCCAGTTCTGCTCCCCACACTCTTACCTATTGTTAGCCAAATGGGCTCGTTTCCCCCTGGAGCTGCCCAATTACCCCAAGGAGGCACGGGAGTCTAGAA